TGTCGCCGTTTTCAAGATGTTTATTAGTGTTTGACTACAACGAAAGTGTTTGAAATTTCAAACACTAATAAACATCTTAAAAACGCGACACCGAAAGTGTTTGAATTTCAAACACTTTGAAATTTCAAACACTAATAAACATCTTGAAAACGGCGACAACGAAAGTGTTTGAAATTTCAAACACTAAATAAACATCTTAAAAACGGCGACAACGAAAGTGTTTGAATTTCAAACACTTATTATTTAGAGTGAAGCTGACGTTATTTGTCATCATTTTGACATCGAAATAACAATAAATAACATCAGCTATCTGTAACTCTAATGACAGTGTAACTTTAATGACAGTGTCGTTGTCACTATATCGTCGTTGCTCAGGTATAATATATGGTAAAAAAACTGTATAATGACAATATAACGATAACGGTTACTGACGTTAAGAGTTATAGAAAAGGGGTACTGAGCTATTAAACAAAGCTCGGTTTTGGATCGATATCGAAATGTATAGAAGAACTCAGAACAAATATATAAACTTTATTGTTACTTTATTTTGTAAAATAAATCCTTACTTTGGCCTTTTCATTCGATAATATCGCGTCAGCAATTGGTGTTCAGGAGACTAAAAAGGATAGAAAACTAGCCAAGTGTACGCGCCAATATAGAAAACTTATTTATGTTAAAATACGATGTTAAGATCATCCAAATAGATCATAATTAAACGATCTTAAATATAAGATCTGACTATGAATACCGGCCTATGTTTCCTATAAGTGAACAAAGATTCTATTTTACACGCATATTTGCACACGTGTTTGTATAAATAAGATAATTTTATTCGCTAAAAAATAACTAATAAAACCATTTATACAAACGTTTAGGTGAGAAAAGATTTCTTATTTAGATCAAATCGCCAGTATTATAGTTATAATCTTTGCCGTTGTACTATTTCGAAAAATTATGATTGTTCGATATAGATTTAAAAAAATAAACAATAATCGTCAACTGCCATGATAAAACTTAAACGAACTCATTCGGCAATAATAAAACGTATGTGATATGTGTTTAAAAATTAAGTTAAATATATCGACATTCTTGTGCTGAAACTTTCACATTATCTCGGGCGCCGGTATTAATTCCAATGAATAATTGCAAATATCACGTGCTGAATCGAGATCTGTGCTTTTTATATGAAAAGTCCCTCGACACACAAATCGTGTTAAAACAGTCAAATATTTCCGATCGAAGTTATTCTGTACCAAATTGTTCTATGTCGAATTATATATATTTCTTCTTTATAATAATGTCGAAACTGTAAAACAATTAATGGCACTATTACAATTACTTAGAAAATTAATTTATATCATTAATCTCATTAATTCGTTAAATGCATAAACTAGTTAATTTAAAATAAATCATATTTTATCGAAATTTTAATTTAAAATTTGGTTATAAAAATATCTATAATATCAAATACTTTCACCGAGGTAAAATTATTTCCAATTTTTCAATTCTTTCAATATGCTACACTCACCTTTTACATGTTATTTTGGCAAAAGAAAATTTAATTACATGTTTTTAATTAAGTGTATTTGAAAACAATATAAGATACGAATATTACAAGAACTAATATAATATCACAAAATTTCTACGAATAGTTGTAGTACGCAAAAATCATGTCCAAATACAACATTCGATAAAAATTGATGTTAATCGTAAGTACAGATACAATGATGAGATACATGAATTGATACAGGTGCAATAAATTGTTGCAATTAAAACATTCGTCGAGACAAAGTTTATTTTCTTTTGCCAATCCACTGATCGCATGACGTCTTATTCGAACTTTAATATCTTTTTATATCTTCGCTTTAATATTAACTACAAAATATTTGACCAATAAACATAAACGTTCGTGCGTTAATTACTTGTTATAGCCTGCTCAACTTCTCGCCTTTCATCAGTTTTCATAAGTTTTAGGCAATCCCAAATTTTCAATCAGTGTCAGATCCAATATATCTTTGATATATGATCTCTGACTTGGCGATTTTAAGAATTTCAAAGGATCTTATTACTTATGATTTATTTTGAAATAATATCGAGACAACGCTCTTTCTTCGTTCTTTTCGTTTTAAAAAATAAATGTGGGGAACTACATTACGCACCTACGGGCAAATGGTTTATAAAATACTGTATTATTTCATGAGTAAATAGCCGATCTACTTGAACAGCGATAACACCCATGGATCTCTTACTTTTTTTCACAACGTCAATTACGACCTACTACATCGTTCATTATTCATTATTGAAATTATGATAAATTAACAGATGGCACTGAATAAGATTGCATAAAACCCCAGGCATTCTGACGTTATTTATCATACATAAACGTCATAAGTACTGTATATATATATGCCGCGTGTTTAAGAAAATAACTCACTTTGTTCCTTTTGATTTCATCGGTTCGACGACGATCTCATCGAACGACCATGTTACTGCTGATGTACCTCGTCGGAATCTTGGCGTCCACAAATGCTGAGGACTTGACTAACTCGATAGAGAAAATACCGAAACTGAATCCAACAGACAAGATACAACATATTCCAGAATTGTTAACACTTGCGTCCCCTGACGATGCAACGCTTACGACGGTGAGTAAAACTCCTGTTTTCCTTTTTTTTATCCAACACAAATTTGCGCATTAAATTAAAAATAAATTTCTTAAATAGAGAGAAAAACTATAACTTATAATATATAAAAATAATTGTCATCCTCACGTTTGAAATGTGACAATTTCTTAAATAATTATAATATAAATAACAATAGCTCCTGTAATAAAATCAAGTATAATAAAAGGGCCTCCGCAACCTGAACAAGGTGGTAATGTCCGATAAAATTACTTTATTATAATAGCAAATGTATATATGTATATACGTTTCGGTCCTTATTGGATCATCTTCAGTATAACGAAAAAAATAATAAATACAATTAAAAATATATATCGATTTGCGAATTAAAAATATACATAGATTACGCAGTTAGTAATATAAAATTGTAATAAATTAAGAGAAGGTATAGTACTAAAAAAAGATCCACTTGCGCGGCGCAAGTAGATATAACATTATGAGTCAAAAAGTAAAAAACAGTAATAGTCAAGTAATAGTCAGGTAACGGTAAAAATAAAATAAGAGACGGTAGTACAAAAATAAACTGCGCAAGCGAATATAACATAATGTGTCACTTGCGCCGTTTATTTTTGTACTACCGTCTCTTATTTTATTTTTACCGTTACCTAACTATTACTGTTATTTATTGTAACATACACAAAATTTACATACACAGAAAATTTCAATAATTGGAACGCTATTGCAACAGCATATTTCTAGGACCAAATCAAGTAAAAAAAGTCCTATTCTACTTTTTATTTTGCAATTTTCGCAATGGTTAACGAGTTATTAATTAAAACTCGCTGTCTTAGCCCGGCCTACCGCCCAATTCAAGCGTGCGGCGAGATGCGGCCGTCCCGCGATTGGTTATGAATGAGTCTTGTTACACATTTTTAGATAAACATAATGAATATCGAAGACATTATATTTAATGCTTCAATTTTAAATGCAGAAAATATAAATAATGCAGAAAAACGTCTTCCAAAGCATACAAAGATACATTATATTTATTATTTACAAAATACGTTTACATTATTAATATAATAACAAGACAAGAAATTATGAGGCAATGGATTACATTAGTTTAATTAGTTAATAATCAATCAAGTTTGAATTAAGTTATTAATAATTGTAACTAAATATAATATATGTAATACTTTGCAATCCTTTCGTCTTCTTAATAAAAAATTAATTTTTAATTTGAATTTTTTAACGTATTAGATGTGGTTTAAGTGAATTTGTTGACTAATCGATTGTGCACGATTACTCTCTATGCACTATGTATATTTGTCCAATATTTGTAAAAAATGTCATAACATCTTACAGACTAATAATTTAGAAATAACGTTAATTACGTTTAATCGCTCATTGTTAATAATCTTTTTATTTCTATCTAATCATTTATGTTCAGTACAAATAAATTAGTCAAATGTGATTATATTGCACAGATGGAACTGATAAGTAAATATGGATACAAAGGTGAGCTGCATAAAGTAACCACTGCCGACGGTTATATTTTGGAACTACATCGAATAAAAGGACGAACCGATAATTCTACCGATTTGAAAGTGCAAAAACCTGTTGCGTTAGTGATGCACGGCCTTCTATGCGACTCGTCGACTTGGGTTCTTGCCGGTCGTGAAAAAAGTTTAGGTAAAGAGAAAAAGTATAGCTTTAGTGTTAAAACAACGTGATTTTCAACTAAAGGAAAATATTTTTGCCCAAACATTATTCGAATATTTCTATATTTAAATATTAAGCTGAATTTTTTAGACAAAGTGTCAAAAATTAAATTTAATCTATGATTCTAATCACGAGACATATCATGAATTAATAAAAATAAAAAATGTATCATAAATTAATAAAATGCATAAAATTCATAAAGTTTACATGTGATAAACACAAATTCGAAGGAATAAGGCTAAGAGTCGCGACAGGGTATTAGTGTCTAAATTATTTTACTATAAATTTCTTACGAAAAATAATACCAGCCAAGGTTTGAAGTTTGAACCGGGACCTCCCTACTCACTAGGCGGGCTTCTCACCGATTCGACCACTGAGACATGTAGTAATATTTATCGCAATAAACAGTCTAATGTTATTTCCCGAATGTCATATCATGACTGTAAACTAGAAAACTAGAACTGCCGACTTAAAATACAGAACAATCAAGTATCCCCAAATATTATCTTCTCATTCACCCAAACACCTAATGAAATTGAGAAACGCGTATTAACGCCTGCGTGATTAATAAAATTCATAAAATTCATAAGACTCATATGTGACAAACACAAATTCGAAGGAATAATACCAAGAGCCGCGACAAAGTGACAGTTTTGTATGTGTGCGTGCGCTCGTATGTTCATTTTCAGATAAAAAATGAAATTTCATGAAATAAAATATCATTATATCCTCAATCGCACGAAGACCATCCGTACCCTAATTTGAAATTGGAATTTAAACTTTTTACATTGTACTTAAACTAATTTAAAAGACGATAGTTTGACCATTTTGGCCAAAAAAAACCCGCACGTTTTATGAAAATTGGTTGAAACTTTAAAAACTAAATAATATTTACGTAATGCTGATCAAAAGTTAAAATAAAATGTTTGATATTTCAATACTACGCTGCCCAACAAAAAGCGCATAAGAACGAAAATAATTATTTCCCATTATTATTTTTGCGCACTGAATCTCGTTTACCAAATTGCTCTATCACGTCACAAGTTTGAGTTTGCAGTTAAAGTTGCCAAAAAGAGTTACCTTACAGTTTGTATACTTTGATACATTATAACTACAATCTGTGATCTGTTGAAGAAGTTTTATTGCAAACAAAATTAAGTGTGTTGTTAGAACTGTTAGTCATCGAACAGAATTTGTTGCGTCGTTCTTGGTTAAAAAAATATTGATAAATAACACAAAGTCTTTTGTGTCAAAGCTGCGCGCGACTTCCATAAATTATTAACGATATAGTAATTAACGATGAAACTTTTCTTAATTATATGTTATGCAAACTTAATGGTTTTTCAAGTTGCTGAATACTAATTTGGTGTCAAAGTTGACAAATTTCCCAACGGGTCATACATGTATGCTGTAATTATATGATGTGCCGAAGTACACTACAATAACTCTTTCTGCAACTTTAATTGTAAATTCCTCAAAATTGTGATGTGATACAACAATTTGGTAAATGAGATTGTATTCAGCGTCTCCATAGAAAATTATCCTCGTTCTTGTGTATATTTTTGTTGTCGAACAATGTAGAAATGAAATAACGTCTTATTTTGACTTTTAAACACTTGTAGTAACTAAATGCTTCGTTACAAGGATTCGCGCCCATTGTGATTTTGATCAGCATCACGTAAACTATTTATTTTAAAAGTTTTAACAAATTCCACCTAAATCCAATTTCAATAAAGCCCGTATCGGACTATGGGTTGAGATTGAGATTGACAGTAAAATTCATAAACTTCGGATTAGTAAGCTTTACTCTGATTTGTCAAATTTCAATATAATCTCAATCTCAATCCGTAGTCTGATACGGCTTAAGAATTCATCAAGCTTTGTCATATGTGTATTGGCCAGTATATTCATCTTTATCATTGTTTTCTAATATTTATATTTTAGGATTTTTGGTCGACTAAAAGGCTTGATCATTTTAGGATTTATTCTGGCGGATGAAGGATATGATGTATGGCTCGGTAACGCGCGTGGCACTACATATGCTCGTAATCATAAATCTCGGAAAACTTTGAAGTCGAAAAAAGATTTCTGGAACTTCAGGTGAGAATGGATATAAATGCACTGTCGTCTACAAAAATAATTCTAACTCCCCGAGAGTTCTCGTACGCAGGGAACTCGCAAAATTCGCAGCGAGAGTTCTCTGCGAGATCTGAGTTCTTTCTGCGAGTTCTCTGAGAGTTCCCGGGAGTTCTCACACGCAAGGAACTCGCAGGGAACTCGCAAAATTCGCAGCGGGAGTTCTCTGCGAGTTCTGAGATTTCTCTGACAGTTCTCTGCGAGTTCTGAAATTTCTCTGGCAGTTCTCTGTGAGTTCTGCGATTTTCTGCGAGTCCCCCGAGAGTTTTCATGCACAGGGAACTCGCAGGGAACTTGCAAAATTCGCAGCGAGAGTTCTCTGCGAGTTCTGCGAATTCTCTGAGAGTTTTCTGCAAGTTCTGCGATTTTTCTACGAGTTCCTCGAGACTTTTTATGCACAGGGAACTCGACTGATTTTTATTATTTGTCTTCTTAACTTGCATTTATCATAATTGTCTGGATTTCCAAGAATATGATAATTCCGTAATAGCAATGACATAATATATTGTAACACGTGTTTCCAATTACACTTATTATAACAATATACAGATTCTAGATAATCATATAAGATAACATGGGTCGAATCAAGATCGTTTAAGTATCATTTCTTATATTATAATATAACCTCTGCCTCCTTCTTGCTTTACGACCAAATTGTATTTAATTTTTCCTCAATAATAATGTCGAAATCTACAGTTTTTGAGCGATGTTACTAATGTTTACAAGAATAAAAATACATAAATCTATATTTTAATACATAAACTATACATAAACTATATTTTTCACTTAACGTTAAAATTTACCTGAAATTTAAAATGTTAGAAAAAAATGTGCTAAAATATTTTCGTTGCAATTCTCAGGGTTGTCTCGAAAATGTTCAATAAACTTTATTCACAATTCTTTGCGTTTCATGAACAAATTAATGAGCCGTTGATAATTCAAAAGAAAAATATCGGTTTCAAAAATATTTATCTAAAAACGTGCCATTTTATTGACAATGCGTTATCTTGTCAGAAAAATTTAATCAGTTATCTTCGATTATCCGATTACGACTAACACCCAAAAGAGACACGCTGCGCAGATTATATAAAAATCAGTATCTCTAGCTTCACGAAAAAACAACATTGCACAAAAAGACATGTCTTTTATATATTGTACTTTCACATATAATGCACTTTTGTGCAATATTGTTTTTTCGTGAAGCTAGAGATACTGATTTTTATGGATTATTATAATAATCCATATAACAGTATTATAAATTTGTAATTATAAATTATATTTAATTTACATTAATTATACTTAATAGCAAGAATATCTTTAAAGATTTTTAATACTTTTCTTTTAACTAAACGTAAATGTAGTAATTTATGCGAGTATATATCCACTCCTATTGCAGCTGGCATGAAATAGGCACGCGTGATCTTCCAGCGATGATAGACTATATTGTGAAGACCACTGGCCGCCAAAAAATGTTCTATCTAGGCCACAGCCAGGGTACCACTGCTTTCTTCGTCATGGCGTCGGAACGACCAGAGTATCAGAAATATATCGAAGAAATGTACGCCATGGCTCCAATCGCTTACTGCGGCAGGATGAAGAGTCCCTTCATGCAGTTGCTGGCACAGTTTACCCTTACCATGGAAGTGCGTGACTCCTAGATGTAAAAAAGAATTGATTTCTCAAACATTTTCTGTAGTTTCCTGACAGTTCGAATGTACCATTGCAGATTATGGGGCAATTATTCGGCATATACGAATTCAATCCTACCAATGATTTCATAAAAGCAGTTCAACGTTTAGTGTGCGCGGAGAAAGCCATCACTCAACCCATATGCTCGAATGTGATGTTCCTAGTGGCTGGATTCAATGAAGAACAATTCGATCCGGTAAAATCGCTTTTAGTTTATTTATTCATAAGTATATAATATATCTTATTTTTCGAGCATACTTTTAAGCGTTTTTTTAAATTATACTTTAAAGCAAGATAATAGAATATACACAAATATGTAGCGTAATATTTTATTTTGTCAAATAATGATTTTTTTATACACACGGAGAGAATTTTCTTTTAAAATTTATCCTGAAAATCAAGTAATCGTGGGACAACACGGCATTGTGAGAAATTTTATTCGAGTTTTTAGAAATTTTACCATACATTTTACTAATGAAATGTATACCAAGTACTAGTAAAAAGTATGGTAAATTTCCAAAAAGCTCTAATAAAATTCTTCGAAATAGCGTGTTGTCTCACGATTACACGATTTTTAGGATAAATTTTAAGAGAAAATTCTCTCCGTGCATCCAGTATCACAATTGTATCAATGTTATCAAAATTGTGCAATTATTTTAAAACTCAATTATTAAGTTTCTTAACTAGGAAAATACAAATTAACTTTCTTACGTTAGTTTATGGGTCTCCCTAAGATTTATAAGGTAAACTGTCCATTCCGTAGCATTGTGTCATCTATTGACAGCACACTTTACATCCCTTAGAATCTTTCTTTCATAAAATCATGTACAACTCCTTTCCTAAAGCCGCTAGTCATACATCTAACAGTTTGGATGTGATTAAAAAACTCTTCTAATATCTTCCTAGGCTCTTCTACCGATAATCTTAGGACATGTTCCTGCTAGTAATTCCTTGAAGCAACTCGTCCACTACGGGCAACTCATCAAATCTGGTAAACATTTATTTATATTAATATAATAAGAAATTCGGCAGACACATATCTCTAAACACTACCTCTATTACAATAAAAACTGCTATGCAAAGTGATTCTCAAAAACCACCCAGTTGGGAGGTGTCCAACTACGTATCACTATTCCTTCTAAAAAACTGAGACGAAAAGTTCTGAACACTTTTTCCTCTAACGTTTAATAAAGTAGTAATTATTGAGCGTAAAGTCTATCCTATATCCAAGATGCAACTCTAAAAATTATCAGATCTTCAGAGACCTGACACTTTCCTTGAAGTATTTCAAAAGATATTTAAGACGATCCTTAATACAAGAATTGACTGGAAACAAGCCTAAGTGTAAGCAACCAAATTCGCTTTTAGTAAAAATATGATATTTCGTATGTACCAATCTAATGCAAAAACATAATATACCTAAGTATTTGACGGATAAAATATATGAAACATACATTCTGTTGAAAGTGTGATATTTCAGCTCGGTCAAACTGTGTCTTTGCAGTGTCTAACACAAACGTTCGCTATATTACACGCATTATGTATAAAAATAATGAAATATCCATTCAAATATCCGTCATTCCTTAAGAATTTCCCGCAATAACGGCGATAAATTTGTCAACAGGAACACTATTCTTGCCGGGGAGATTTAAACATTTTGATTACGGACTGTTCGGTAATAAAGATTTGTACGGCACGCTGACTCCGCCAAACTATAATTTAACTAAGATCACAGCACCGATCCACGTGTACTACAGTGAAAACGATTGGCTGGCAAATGTCCAGGTTTGTATTTCTTTATGCAGCGATTATCTCGAGCACCTTCGATGTCTGGGTAATTAGAGTACCTTTTTACACTCTAACGTTGAGAATAAATACGAAGGGGAAACCGCTGAGGGCATTGCAGTGCACAGATTTGCGGCATTACTGGACATTACTAAGCATTACTAGGCATTTTTTGGGCATTAGTTTGGGCATTAGGCCTTGCTGGGGCATTATAAAGATACAATAAGCAAAAATAAGATAAAATAAGATATAACAAGATAAAATAAGATAATAAGATAAAGTAATGCCCACTGGGCATTAGTGGGCATTGGTGTACAAGATTTTGATCAGCGGTTTCCCCCTCGGATAAATATTACCACATACCTCAGTGGTCGCTAGTGAAATGATATCTGATTTAAGTCTCAAATATATTTTGTTGTGTGAGTGTATTTGATCAGCCAATGGCTAAATCCCTTTACTACTACTCAGTTCTTTACTATTGGTTACTATTTGATACGCGTATCAAGTGCAGGATGTAAACTAGGCCACCAGCGATTATTCGAAACTTAAGGCTAATCTACAATGTGCATCTAGAAACTTTAGAATATTTATCGATATATGCCTAAATAATTTGTGCAAGTCGATAAATTGTATATTACACATTGCACGATCGTACATTGTCGGCAAATGTTTTAAGCGTTTTAACACGTTTATATAAAATAGAATGTTTCTAGATGCAGAGAGCACATTGTAGATTAGGCTTCAGCGCCCAGTATCAAAATTGTACTCACGCGTTTGTTGTACTTTCATGGATATTTATACTTATATCATGGCCCTTCTTGTAGGATGTGGAGAAGTTGTATAGCGAGCTGGGCAATCCCTCTGGTAAAACCTTAGTAGCGGATAAGAAATTTAATCACTTGGACTACCTGTGGGCCAAGGATGCAAACAAGATCGTGTACGAGCCGATAATCAGTGCAATGAAGAAGAAGTCCACGTAATGAAGTACCAGCATTTATTCCTTCGCAATCCTAAGCAATCTACAAAATTCGACGGGGATTTACTTTCGTCGTCAGCAAGATTGTTTCGTTCTGAGATCAACGTTTGTGCCCGATGAATTCAACATACTAAATTGCATTGCCCAATCTCTTGTCTACTTGATAAAATAATTTTGTCTACTTGAAACGTGATACATACATTTTGCATTTTGTACCGACCCTTATAAATTCCCATTCTCTTGTATTATTGTTCCATTGATTTTTTGTCCTCGCTATTATTTATTTGTGACTTATTATCGCCTTTTTTCTTACGTCATTATCTCGCTCGCATATTTTAACAATAGTAAGTAAAGGGTAATTTTCTTTGATTTATGAAAATTGTGATCCATAAAATGAATTATCTATAACATCAAAGATCAATTTATAGATCGAAATTAATAGACTCGTAAGGAATCAATTAAACTAAAACGAATAAAATTGTACGCATAAGAATTAATTGATGAGATATAAAAAGAAATGATCTACGAGAGGAAATCTCTGAAATCAATTTTCTAATCGAAGATTACAAGAGATTTCCCTGTTTGCCTGCATTTTATCAACAGCGCAATCAGTTCTTTTGTTTCCTTCAAAGCAATCCGATAAGGATCGTATAACAAACAGACACACAATGTATTACGAGTAGCTATGCACCTGGCACGCAAAAAGTTGCAAAAATGCCGTGTCATTTTATGGATAAACAATCGAACCACTTGAACACCGATAAGAGCCCCTTCTCTTTCTGAACACTTCAATCACAACTCTGTAGACCAATCGTGTTATGAAAATTATATCAACCCGATTATGACAGAGAACTTAGGTAAAGAGATTTCGATAACACTCGATAAGATCGTATAAAAAGCAAAACACTCTGATGGTGTTTTCAGTTAATAAGCAGCGCCATATATATACGCTACACATTCGGGAAGAAACTCGCGCGCAATACAGTTCGAGCCGATCGCATCTTGCGCAACAACGATCTCGTCACGCGACACAATGGCGCGATTAATTCTTCTTCTCTTGATTATGGCATCCGCCAGCGCGATGCCGTACTCCGCGATGGATATCCTGCCGATAGACAAGATACCGGCGATCAAGGAACTCGAGGATCCGCAACGTCTGGAAGCCGCACAAGCAGAATACATGTCGCTTACCACCGTAAGTGCAGCTGTCGAGAATGAAAGTAAATTGAAGGAGACTATCATGCCAGTTGAAATAATTGAAGAGGTCACTTTGCGCTTGCCTGCAAATTTACAATTACAAATACTTTAATATCTTCATCGAGTTTCACTAAGAAACACTGTAGACTTTCTAGAAGGTCCGAGGCATTATTGCCGTTAGAAACAGCTTCGTCGTTTAGCGATCTTCGGCGACAACATTGTCAGAAAAACAATTCAAGATATAACGTATGAGAAGAATCTCTCCTTTGGCGAGCAACAGTCCCGTCCCGATAAGCACGAAGAATGAAAAAGACTTTATCTTTGGACGTAGACTTATGTAGCTTTACACTTACGCTTCCTGACTTCGGCTCCGACCATCCAACCCACCCTTAGCATCTCTCACCTTCTTTAAACAAACCATCCCTATAACACGTAAATAAGACGAATCAAATTTTTAACGTATATTCATCGTCTTAATGACGACCCCCCTTGGTGCTTTATCAATTTGTTGATCTCGATATTCTCGATCAACATATCTATAGAATATTTTCATTGCACAACAGCTCGATTTAGTGAAAAAGTTCGGTTACAATGGGGAGCTGCATGAGGTGCTCACTTCTGACGGTTACATCTTGGAGCTGCATCGGATAACAGGGCGGACTAATGTCGAGAACTCGCAAGTGCAAAAACCTGTGGTAATCGTGATGCACGGTCTGCTGTGCAGCTCGGCAGCTTGGGTTCTTTCGGGGCCGGAGAAAGGTCTAGGTAAAAACTATAAATTTCCAGTAAAAGCACTTTTGTATTTCCGAGCGCAAACACATTATCGCACGATCATGTGCACAGTGGTGGACAGAATGGTTGCAACACAGATTTTCTAACTGACCTTAGGTACGCGTATTTAGATTCAGGTGTATGTTTTAAAACATTTTCTACGAGGGAAATTTTACTCGAGAAATAGGTCGAAAATGCACAAAATGGTTTCAAAATAACCATCGAGTAAAATATTCCTCGAAGAAGATTTTGGAACGTAACTCTGAATCAGAATGCACATTCACGAAACTCATTAAGCAAAAAATTGTCGCAACCATTCTGTCCGTCATTGCACACACGTTTCTTTATATATTTACACGGAAAAAACAATGTAGCTGCTGTAGCTAAAACTTAGCAAAATAGGGACAGCTAATATTTTTAGTTGTGATAACTCAATATTTTGCTACGACAGCAAACCGTTTGCTGTCGCACCTAATACAATAGGCACAGTAGCAAAATATTGAGCTATCACAACTAAAATATTAGCTGTCCCTATTTTGCTAAGTTTTAGCTACAGCAGCTACATTGTTTTTTCCGTGTATAAGAAATATATCGAACAGTTCTTTTAAACTGAAGCAAACTTGAGAAAGAGATCACAGATAAAAATTTTTATTTTCTCCTCTGTTTGTGTTTACTTAATAAAAATATTATCTAATATTACCCACTGTTATATTTCAATGTTCTTTTGATATACTTAGGGTTTATTCTGGCTGACGAAGGGTATGACGTTTGGCTTGGCAATGTACGTGGCAATGTATATTCACGCAGACACTTGGCACCGGATATTCTGCCGGAAGTTTACTGGGATTTCAGGTGAGAATAATGAGTGTAAACGACAAAAAAGAAAAGAACCGTATGTAGCTATGACCGCAACTATTACAGCAATAGTAGCATGTTTAAATATAAAGCTTGTTGGCAGGAGATACAAGACATAGAATGTCAAATATCTTCATTATCTTATCATTAAATTTACACTCTACCATACCACCGAGTGAAAAAACTGAAGTGCTTTACGTGGCAGGTGGTATCTATCATTTCTCTATCATTTCTCTAATAATTCTATCATTTTAAATACACTCATTGTCAGTCCCAAAAACGCGGTACACTAAAAATTTGGGAGAAATTTACGAAATTTCGAAAAATCATAACTTGGTGAATGGTGAATTTTCTATGTTTGCATTTATTTGTATTTTTATTACTTACCAAGTTATAATCATTTGAAATTTAGTCAATTTCTCCCACATTTTTAGTGTACCGCTTTTTAGGACTGAAGACAAAGGAACGGTCGGAAGTGTCCCTCACTTTAACAGTTTATACTGTAACTAACTTAAGTTAAAATTATTTAACTTTTTAAATGATTTGTTTAATTTTTTTAATTAATTATTTAACTTTTTAACTTTACTTTTAGTTTTCTAACTGGACACTACCCAACCCTGATAAATTATAATCATTAACAAATCGTACGCACGTGGCACAATGAGAAATGAAATTGTACTAGTATCAAAAGCTAAAAAGGTACAAAAGAATTACAGTATTTTCGCATTTTGAGATAAAATTAATCTGCACGTGTCATCTTAGCAGAAAGATTTAATCGTGTTTAATCTCTTAATCACTCACTCCTTAGATTATCCGATTACGACAAGGTTACTTTCGACACAATAACATTAAATAAAAAATTAATCAAATCAAAGTTAGTACCAAACGGATGATAACAGTAAAAAAACAGTAAGCAACTTTTCAACCCGTGTAAAAGTCCGAAATGCTTTCAAATATTTATACAGGTGCAATAAAAGTCGCGATAAAAGTAACTAATATCTTCTTTTATCGGTCAGGTAAGGTATTATCACTTCTTGATCGTCTCATTGAATGCCTTTGGTGTTATTTTCACGAATTAAGTGCCTATCAGATGTTTATCGGTCAAAAGTAACATATATTTAAGTGACTTAACAAATATTAAAAATGTCCAAATTAAAGTTTTTTGTCCCAAATAACAGACCTGTATAGGTTTAGCATTATTATGAGATGTGATATTATTTCGTAGATATTTTTACAAGAAAATTAACGTTTCAACGAAGATGTAAAAATTTCTACAAATTTCTATTTCAAGTCAATTTTTGTAGTTATTTATAGAAATGTTTTCCGCTAGGGAAGCATATATTGTTTCAATGAAACAAATTTCAATTAAATAAGTAAGAATACTAAATCCAAAAAACTTCTTTCTCCGTGTATATGCAACTTCCCCAATCACTCTTATTGTTCTATGAATTCCTGAAGAATTACAATTCAGAAATGCAGAAAACTTACAGAATACTTAGCGAATTTACTATGCTATCTGGGTTATCCATTTTAGGCCGAGGATTGACGAACAATTCATAAAACTCGTATCGTTTTTGCAGCTGGCACGAAATGGGCATGTATGATCTTCCAGCGATAATAGATTACGTTGTGAAGACCACTGGCCGCGAAAAAGTATTTTATTTGGCACACAGTCAAGGTACCACCGCTTTCTTCGTCATGGCGTCGGAACGACCAGAGTATCAGGACAAAATCCAGGCGATGTTCGCGCTGGCACCGGTTGCTTATTGCGGCAGGATGGATAATCCCATTTTGCAATTCATAGCGAGGTTCACCGGTACCTTACATGTACGTAATTCTAATCTCAATAAAAAAATAATGCGACCTTTTTTATGGACTTTAATGGCCCCGTTGCAGAGACTGATGAAATTACTTGGCATGTACGAGTTTATGCCTGATAATGAAGCTATAAAGATATTCCAAAGAATCGCGTGCGAGGAAGACGCTTGGACGCAACCCTTGTGTGCAAACGTGCTCTTCTTGATCGCCGGGTATAACCCGGACCAGTTTAATGCAGTTAGTAGCAGCAAAGAATCGTAACATTAACTTTTAAAAAATTTTAGTAATAATTTTAATAACGATTAATCTTATTGTTTGAATTGATGTCAATTCGTTATTATTTCGATATATTTATTCATGACGCTGCTGTCATCTTCGCAGACTCTTCTACCATTAATCCTGGAACATACTCCAGCTGGCTCATCGACGAAACAGTTAATGCACTATGCACAACTAATAAATACCGGTAAGCGTTCATTCCTACTATTGTAAGTACACCTCAAATTATACTTGCGCAAAGAGTGAGAACAAGATCGTTTTTTTTCGCACCCCATTTGCCTATAGACACTTGTTCTCACTCTTTGTGAAATATCTTCCAAGACAACATTAAAGACGTTTAAAAGAGACATCTTTAAGACTTTATTAAAAGACGCCTATAAGACGTCAGAAAAAAAATCTTAAGACATTGTCAAAAAGATGTCTTTGTGACATCTTATAAAAATATAAAATATTGATTATATATCAATAGTTATTTTTTGTTTTATTATATTATTATTATAAATTTGTTCTCAGGATATTTAGTTACACCGGGAAAATTCAGGCAGTACGACTATTCATTGATTACTAATTTGCTCAAATACAATTCGATTTCGCCTCCAAAATACAATTTGGGAAGAATCAAAGTGCCGATTTCATTGCATTATAGCACCAACGATTGGCTGGTGAATGTCAATGTTCGTATCTTCTTATATATTTTACTTGGTTTATTTCCAATATATTAATTTTTTTCACATATTCATGCGCATAAGCTTTCGTATACTTTTGGAATAAGTATCTTGGAAATAATCGAGATGCTAAAGTCAAATTTACTACCATACGATATTTTAATTGTACGAATGATTGCAGGACGTCGACGAATTATACAAGGAACTTGACAATCCGTTAGGAAAATTCCGCGTGCCGCATGAAAAATTCAATCATTTGGATTTTATGTGGGCGAAAGACGTCAAAGAGCTTTTGTATGACAAGGTACTAAGTCTGATGACGAATTTCCGATAAAGTTAATTCTACTAGTGCTTGGAACTTCAAAGCTTCTTGCAGAGATAAAAAATTTCATGAGAAGTTGATTTTATCTATCAGAGAAATTTTAATTATCGTAAAATCGATACTCGCGTTAGATAAAATTATTGACTTGAATTATCAATCTATTAGTAGGGATTATTTAATCACGAATTTCTTCGAAATATGACTTGAACCTCTGTAAAATTTGTAACAAACTTAGGAATGAATGAGATATTAATTTTTCCACTGAACTGGGAACTATTAGTAGGGATTATTTAATCACGAATTTCTTCGAAACATTACTTGAACCTTAGTAAAGTTTGTTACAAACTTAGGAATGAATATTAATTTTCCCACTGCACTGGAAAAATTTCTATACATTGTAATCAATTATTATTAGTATATAGTGTGTACTAAGTAATCAAATTAACATTGTAATTAATTTTATATCTATATCCAACTGTCGATACAGCTATTATAAATAAGTCGTAATACTTAATTTTATATCCGTTGGAAGAAACTACTTGTAATATAGCGAAACTTGTTTTAAAATGTAGGCAACTTTAAAAGACTGAAAAATATATGTCTAAATATTAAAATTAGTAATTACAGATAAGATTTATTCAGATAAGATGTATTTATCGTTAGCTCTTCGTAGATGTAATGGATTCCGTAGCGTTGAAGATCGAATATAAGTAGCGACAAGCTGAATATCAACAAATGTAATGACGACGTTGTCAAAATCGTAAATAAAGGCGCTAAAAAGAGTCACTTTCTTACTTTTAGGGGGCTCTGAAAGAAAGCACAGGTATCGCTTTTACACACGTATACGTACATTTCACATAAATAGATACGGACGTGTGCGTGGCATTGCAGAGGCACAGATATTTATAGTCGTTAGGGGCGGAAGTGAGATACACGGTCTAACGAAGTTACGCAAATTATGCAAAACATAACAGGTAATCATCCAGTCGACCACTCCGCATTGCGAGTCACAAGGTTGAATTTTATCGAGAGCACGTTATTGATATTCCTGGTAATATCGCGTGCGTAGGTAAGTTGTGAGGCGCGCGCGTGTGCGTGTGCCACGACCGCAATTCGTTTTTTTCCCCTCCTTGGTATTTCAGCGTTGTAATTTTAGGGAAAACTCGACCTTGTGACGCTCGACACCGCTCTCTTAGAATAACTTCACTCCCTACTTTATACATACCGGCACGCTGAAAAGAAAAGTACATGGGTGTTCATGGGTGGAACTGATTTTTATTGTTAAGCACAATAATATTTATCTGCTTTTACCGCATCTTCTGCATGTAGACTCGATCGTGAAATCGACGGAGGTGCGACAGACCGATTTTTATCCCCGAAAGCTCGATTCCGAGAAAAAAAATCAAAGCGATCTCGTCGTGCCCACATTTATCTCGTTCCACGGGTAAAAAGTTGGCAATTTTGCGTTTGCGTTTCCAAAGAAAAAGAAAGCACGTTCCGGAAGCCAGCTCTTGACGTTTCGACAAACCGCCGTCTGGCAGCGTAACAGGTTCTTCATTTAACGTGTATACAAAGTACAATTGGGCTTTCACCACCGGCGATTAAATTCGAACCCATTAGCGATGCATTTCCTGAACCGATCTCATGTAGCAAGTACGGCGAAAGCATAACGTACATCATATAACACCGTGAAGATACAGCTCGTTCTGTATGTCGCTAATAATATATGCAATAAACCTGCTGGAATATATGTACAATAAATAAATATAAAAAAAAACCGTGACAACATGTCGAATATCCTCAGATGTTCTCAAGTCGATTTTCGGCGAGTACGACTCGATATCTTTCATCGTGAAACACTCTTACTTTCGAACACTCTGCTACATATTCGCTGTTCATAAAAGTGGCATTGCGAACTTCTATTTAAAAAAAAAAGGAGGACCATGCACGATAGTGATTTGATATTATTTAATAGTCAGTCTAAAATTTGAACAATGTAGCAACGTTTACGATAATTAAATACTGCATGAAAAATTGTTTGAAGATTGCACTCTATGTATAAATAATATATCATATATGTATAATCTATATTTATTATATATATACACACATATATATATTATATATATTTGTATATATATAAGTATCGTAATATGGAGTGTTGAATATTACATAAAAAAATTTAATATGGATAGGTGTTATTTCCTTTCCGGAAATAAATATTCTCCTAAGTATACATCGCCTCGAGAGATAAAATGTCTTCCCCCCCCCCTTTTTTTATGTTATAATCTGTGCACAATATAAAAACTGTGAGGGTAGCAATGAACGAGTCGGATATTTGTTATTCAATAGCATGTTAATTTTATATCTGATCGAAATAAAGTTATTGTTAGATTAGGTGTACGATGATTATTATCGCACGTCGAAAGAGAGATTTGAGCTCCTTTGTATTTTTTTCCTATTCCGTCCAATCATTCTGAGAATTCTTATTCTAACAAAACAAAAGTGTCAGTCGCAGTTGCATGGCAAATACAAGATGAAATTATTCAGTATGCGGTACATAAGAAACGACGGTTACCAATTAATATAAAATAACAATTGCAGGGGCAATCAATCTCGTTCGGGCTTACATTCATTATTGGCGATTATTCAACGGATACCACGTACTTCCATGTACTTTTGCAGACTCGAGCGAGATACGCTTGACGTAAAACCCACTCGACGCGAAAATGTGTAGTGCATTTAGAGTATCGCTCGAACGCTAAACAATTACGCTAGAATTTACTACGTTAAAATCGCCAGTATTGAACTTAACCGTGTAATCTGCGTATTTACCTAATAATATAAAACAAGAACACAACAAACTTCTTGGCATACAAAATACATTTCAACATGTAAGGTTGTATGTCATTCTTCATTTTCTTCTTCTTTTTTTTTTCTCCCCAGTTTATCTCCCTAATCCTTCGACTGTGTATCTTCTTAGAATTTCTCTCTCGGATTATATCTCCACTTACGTAACGACAAACGATATATCAAGAAACATTGATATTTCTCTTCACTTGCTTATCGGGAGCATACGTTGCTTTTTCAAAACGAATTTTCCGTGTACATAATGAGTAATGAAGTTCTCTTTTACACATGGTAGTGATTTTAAATGTATGTATTTTGCATAGTGAGCAAGGGAGGAAGAGAGGAAGGAAAAAGGACGTTCGAGAGGACAGCAAAAACAAGTTTACCCGCTCTTAAAGAGGAGAATGGCTACCTGACCAAGGTAGAAATAGATAAAATGTCTTGTTTCGTGCGTCACATAGCTACCGAAATTACGTCCTACAATGCAATGCCACGTTGGGTTGTACTTTTTATCGAACTCTTTCTTGATAAACGCCGCAATATCCTGAAAGCCAAAACCAATGGATATTAATGGTAGAATCAATAACGATTATTGATTTAACAATCTCATCCTGTACAACTTGACACAATAAATAACACGAGATTATCCCGGGAAACAGAATCGGCCTTCGATATAATTTCGAGCCAGCGTTTCAACTTCAAATTAAGTTGAAATTAAGTCAGGTCTATTAGATTAATAAGACTTGAATAAATTATGTTCCGTGTCACGTTATTCCAGATATCAATTTAGCTTCTCTCTAGTTGCCAGAACTTTGTGTTCTTCGTCATTCTATTATCAGCAAAAGTTGTTAAATGCTCAATGTAAGGATATCAATGAGTTATTCGATTCAAGTTTCATTAAAAATCAATTAAATTCATGCTCATAGAACGTCGAGACCCTCACTGAATAAGAGAAAAGGATAAAACTGGATCTATTGGCAAACACATCTACTCCAATTGCGTTCTCTTCCGTTCTTCGCACAACAGATTAGTGCGCACGGTGCGTCGGTTATCTACTGCGTCTGTACACGTCGTAATAAAACCGTGAGGAATATACCTTTTCAATGTTATATTTCTCAAGAGCCTGAGTGGCACAATCGACAGCGTCCTGCTGCATTTCCTCCGACATGTCAGCATTCTTGATTACTGCTTTTCGGTCTGACATTTTGTCCGTTCTGGAACACAGAGAAACAGCATTGTCATACAATGTGGCACGATTATCAAACAATGAGTCACCCTCTAGAGGCCTGCGTCCACGATGCTAGAACTTGGTCCAACTTGCGCTATTCCATAAAAGCTGCAAGTTGATTGGCTACGCAGTTCTCGGAACTAGCACTTGGACCAAGTTCTGGCATCGTGGACACAAGGCTTAAAGACGATGCTAAAACTCGGTCCGAGATCTAGATTCGAGAAATATGAAACCAATCAACTTTATACGGAAAGGCTGCAAAATCAAGATCTCGGACCGATTTCTAGCATCGTAGACACAAGGCTTCAAAGGCCTGTGTCCACGATCCAAGATCTGTGTTCAAATTCTAGTTTCGAGAAATGTGTAGCCAGTCAACTCGCAGCTATATTCCGTAAAAGCTGCAAGTTGATTGGCAACACACTTTCCGGAGCTAGAACTTGGACAGTCCTCGGATCTTGAACACAAGACTCTGGAGCGAGAGCACAACTGGAAAACCATGGAACCGAAAGCGGCACGAGAAAGTACAAGTTTCAACCCCGAGTTTCATGACACAGTCGTGGAGCGAACCGGCGATTCGCTCTTATAAATTCACACCACTTTCAAAATAAACGGCTTTATTTATAAAGCGACATTATCGGCGCTTTGTACTCGCTCGTTAAATGCCACGAGGCATTGAGGTAGCGCGCGAACGGCCGCCGCGTTCGACAGCCCTCCCCCTCTTCGTGCGAACGTGTCACAAGATTACGGCCCGTTCTTATTTCAAGGCAACAAAACTAACAACGGCTCTACGACTGGTTTGTGACACCTTAAAATTGTACTTGAGATAGTCTCAGGGTTACTTTACCCAAACTCCGGTTAATTTAGTGGTCGATTAACTCTGCCAGAACCGCCCAACATGACACCTAAACACACACACATTTGTATTTTGCGTTTGACGAAAAATGCGGAAGACGCAGAGACGCTGTTGACAACATTGCAAGTTAATCGTCGCTTACTTTCGGAGTATGGTTAGACCCGGCTTCACCAGCGCCGCCTAACTTCAATCACAGCTTAAGGGCCGTGGCGCACAAAAGACTTAAGCAGGAAAACTTAAGACTCAAGAATTTCAACCAATCGGAGATTTCAGTATTGCTTAAATTAAAAAATGGCTCCTCACATTCTCGACAGTCATTGGTAATTTCCCTTAAGTCTCAAGTTTTTTTCGTGCATTCGGGGCCGTCATTCCTTAGCCTAAAGCCTTGCGTCCGCGATGCTAGAAAAGGGGACAGTTGGAAAGAGACAAACGTGAATTAAACTAAGATTAAAGTTAAGCGACGTTTGGCAAAACCGGGCCTTGAGGTGGCCCTTAGTCCGGTTTCATCGACATCGCTTAACTTTAAACTTGGCTTAATTCATCCTTCGTCTCTTTCCAACTTGTCCCCTTAGGTTTCCAGTTTCACCAACGTTGTTTAACTTCAGGCTTACAATTAGTTTAATTTGTTCTTTGTCTCCTTCCAACTGTCTTCCAACTTACTTTAAAAAGAGACAAGTATGAATTAAACTAAGATTAAAGTTAAGCGACGTTTGGTGACACCATAGACATACAAAAGATAGACTGCTTATGAGGTAGTGGGGGATGTCCTCCTGAGGGAAAAGGACAACACCAATTTATTTGGGTATCTATCTTCTTCTAGTGTACGTGATCACGTGGGCGTGAACACGTGATCGCCTTCAGATCACGTCCACTAGAGGAAGACAGATACCCAAATAAATTCATGTTGTCCTTTTCCCTCAGGAGGATGCCCCCACCTAGGGTTCCACTGCCTCATAAGCAGTCTATCTTTTATATGTCTATGGGTGACACCGGGCCTTAGGGCCAGTTTCATAAACGACGGTTAACTGCTGACCAAAGATAGTTAATTGATTCTCTATCTCTTCTAGCTAATAAGATAAAAGGAAAGGATAGAGTCGACCGAACTCTGGTTAGCAGTTAACCGACGTTTGTGGGACTAGCCCTCAGGCCTGGCTTTTCCTTTTCTGGTTAACTGTTACCAAGAGATTAGTCAACTCTCCATCTTGTTCGACTACTGACTCGGACTCCCGACTGTGATTCAACAAATTAGAGTGGCGTCTATTTCCGAGTCGGCCGGTGCTTTGCTGTGATTGGTTGAATCATAGTCGGGAGTCCGAGTCAGGGCTTTAGGCCCGTATCAGACCACAGACTCCCGACTATGATTCAACCAATCACAGCAAAGCACCGACCACCCTGACTGCCGACTCGGGAATAGGCGCCACTCTGATTGGTTGAATCATAGTCGAGAGTCCGAGTCAGTAGACGAGTCAGAGTCGGGAGTCTGTAGTCTGATACGGGCTTTACGCCGGGATTAAAGTCAGGCGACGTTGGCGAAAGCGGGCCCTAAAGCCCGTATCAGATTTCAGACTCCCGACTCTGACTCGACTACTGGCTCGGACTCCCGACTATGATTCAATCAATTAGAGCGGCGTCTAGTCCCGAGTCGACCGGTGCTTTGCGGTGATTGGTTGAATCACAGTCGGGAGTCCGAGTCAGTAGTCGAGTCGGAGTCGGGAGTCTGTAGTCTGATACGGGCTTAATGCCCACTTCTACGATGCGGACGAACTTCGATCTCGATTCGACATGCCTCTCATCTTTCTCCGATCGCAAAAACTGGAGAAAGATGAAAGGCTGAACCGAGGTCGGAGTTGACCGGTGGAAATGGACAACGAGAACGGGAATATAAGAACGAACTATGAATACCGGCCTTACGACTGGCGGGCTCGAGCTGGGCCGCGGGAAGCGCACGACTTTGACAGTAGCGTGCAGGTCCAACGCCGGCATGGCAATGCGGCGGGCGGGAGCCGAGTGTCGGACGCGGTGATAGCGTGACGCTCGCCATCTCGCAGGTAGGACAGGAACAGAGAGATAGAGGAAGAAGGGAAAAAGTAGATAGCGCAGGCGGCGAGAGAAAGAGAGTTCCGTAGCTCATGCGAATATCGGTGCGATGCACAATTAGAGAATGGAGTCGAGCGAGGGAGGGGAAGAGAGGCCGAAGAGACGAGCGTGTATGAGAGAGGGTGGAGGAGACGGGGGGGGGGGAGAAGTTAGAGGGCGGAAGGGGCGAGGGAGAGGGAATGGGGGAGGGAAGCGCGAAAGGCGCGGGAGGACAGTGTTTTGTCGATACGAGGACAATAAAGAAATGGCAATTCGGCCGGCACGCGAGGCGCGCGGCAACCCGCGAAAGTGGGTCGCGACGGTGCCGCTCGTCCCGGCGCCGACGTCGGCGTCGGCGTCGGGCACCCCGTACCGCCGCGCAGCCCCTGCCCCGGCCTCGGCCCCGGCCCCGGCCCCGGCCCCAGCCCCGGCGACGAGGAGATCCTCGGATCTTGACATAAGAAAACGCGCGGCCGGACAGACCCAGTCTCTGCGAGTTCGGCAGCACGTTCGCGGAGAAGGGGGAGAGGACGAGCGCGCATCTTCGACACACCGGAGCGATGCTCCGGTTCTCTCTTTCTCTCTCTCTCTCTCTCCGTCTCGCTGCTCCTCTCCTTTATTTCATACGTTTTCTCTCTACCTTTTCTGGTTGACACCGTCTCCAGCGGATGATCACACACTGTACAACAGGCTCGCCCTCCTCTCCGATATCCGGGGTGTGTGTGTGTGCGCGCGCGTATGTACCCGTGTGCGTGTACGGCCGTAACGCGAGGTCCGGCGAACGCCGTTTATTTTAAGCGCGCGCGGGCGCGATATTTTCCCCCGATACTACGACGACGGGGCGAACGTGACGGCCGAGATTTCGGCGCGACGAGGGATCCTGCGACGTGCGGATTGGCGGCCGGTCCGTTTCCTGGATGCTGCCGCTGCCTCGGGATTACTCGGGAAAATTTTGGGCTAGCTGGGCTTCACGAGGGCCGAAAGAGAGGAACCGACAACTTCACCGACAACTACAGGCTCGGAACTGAGAGCACAGCCAGTCGGCGCCGCGCGATGCCGGCTCGCGATTGGCTCGCCGGCAGGGTCTTCTATCACGGTCTTCTATCGGACCGGCGTGCACCGCGCGAGGCGACGCGCGAGAAACAAACGCGCGTAGGGACTGTCGGACGGCGACGGTGGGAGCTTGCTTTCGTTTCCTTCTGGCGGCCGGCTCGCTTCAAGGCCCGTTTCGTGCCCGCAATTTCCATTCGACATCGAAACGACGTTTTCCATCCGTCAATTTACGCGCCGCATACTTCGACGTTAATAGCCGCTTTCCGCTGAGAAAACTGGTGCAGCACCAGCGCCGTGCTAGGTTTCTATAAAAACTGCACTAGCGCAATAATAGTGCGGGTTCAGTGGAACCAGAGGGAAACCTGAGAGCGGCCACGCCGGCGTTTTACCTGATGCCGTTTCGGGAGACTGGCTTGCGCGCTCTTACGCCCACTTTTGCTTTCGGAACTATTTCATTACGCATTCTCGGACACTGCCGATAAAATTTCCACTCGGTGCATGGCTGTGCTATGCATTCCGACATCTAATTTATAAAATTTACATTGTCCACATGAGAGAGGTTTACGTAAATTTCATGCAGATATAATTTGTGTTGGTGTAATTTTGAATTTTACAGCCCAATCCTGAAAAATAGGCGTAGCCTGGACACGCACAAAAGCCTAGTTTACACCGATCATTTGATACGCGTATCAATTAGCGTATTTCAGCCGATCAGCCAATGACTAAATCCCTTTACTAGTTTTTCTACTATTTAATACGTGATCAAACAATCGGTGTAAACTAAGTTAAAGCGGTGACTTTATCGGTAGTGTCAGAGAATTCATAGCAAAATAGTTCCAAAGGTAAAAATGGGCGTAAAGGCGCGCAAAACAGTCTCGCGAAACGGCATCAAGCAAAACGCCGGCGTGGCCGCTCTCAGGTTTCTCTCTATGTGGAGCACACACATTGAGCCTATCACACAATGCCAGGCAATAGGAATAGGGAATAGAATTTTTGACGCGTTGAGACAGAAGAAGAGCCTCCTGAGTGAAGAAGGAAATATCGATATTGTTTTGCGCATTTTCCTCTCGTACCTGCACATACCAAAACCACTGAGTTTAAAAGTGTAGAAAATTATAATCTTTTCGTCGACTTTTCAAACAGTTTCCTTTCATTATACACAGGCTTCTAAACTCATTTTTAACGGTACAGTAATACTCTGTCGTGTTATCCCGAGGATGGACGTTAAACGTTTGGCACGAGCTACAGGCACAAACTCAAGCAACTATTCAATGTCATATTAATGACACCATCTTATGTCCCCCTCGAAACCATACAACTTTTGTCCAGGTCATTTTTTAGCCCCCTTCCTTGAAGAGATATTTGCGTGCGTCGAGTAAAATGACTCCTCCTGTATATTCTATTTAATATATCAAATAGGTGAAGTTACGCAATGAGAAATCGCGACAGAGAGAGAGAGAGAGAGAGAGAGAGAGAGAGAGAGAGAGAGAGAGA